ATAATTTCAAGGAGCTGATGTAAGTTTGCCATCACCGTGGTTTTAGTTTTTAATACTTCCTTTTTGAACTTCCTTTATTTGTTAAAGTATTAGATCTGTAACTTTTTGTTTCTGTTAAAATAGCACACGTGAGCGTCGAGAGAGACAGCAGCACCTGCAGACTATCCGGGAACGAGAAGAAAGGGAGAGGCTTGAGATTGCTCGTGAGAGACTGGAAATTGAAAGGCAGCGTCTTGAACGAGAACGGATGGAAAGAGAAAGACTGGAAAGAGAACGAATGCACATAGAGCACGAAAGGAGAAGAGAACAAGATCGCATTCAGCGAGAAAGAGAAGAGCTGCGACGCCAGCATGAGCAACTGCGCTATGAACAAGAACGTCGGTCTGCAATGAGGAGACCATATGACATAGATGGCAGGTAAAGCCAGCAAATACAATTTATGCAAGTGGAAAACGTTGCTGCCAGGTTCTGTCTCATCAGCCTGCGCTATAGAAAGCTATCCGTATGTTCTCAGCTTCCATTAATCAGCAGCTGTTGATTGCATTGAGATGGTCATGTGTAATGGCCCCAGTCAAACTATCCTCTCAGGTTTTTCAACTCCCTTTTGAACTTACTTATCCTCCTTCTGGTTTGCACAGTTTGGAAGGAGGAAACAGTATCAAAAGTCAATATCTTGACTAAAATGAGTATGTGCTATCTTTCAGGAGAGATGATCCATACTGGCCAGAGGCAAAACGAATGGCACTGAATGATAGGTACCATTCAGATTTCAGTCGCCAGGATCGCTTCCATGACTTTGATCACAGGGATCGTGGCCGCTATCAAGACCATTCAATAGACAGGTTGGTGTCTTACCTCCACTGTGTTGCCTGAAATCGAAAGACAAAAATGTATTTAATGTGACATTTTGCTGCCTTTTCTGTTAGTTTGGTTTGCATTTTGGTTGTAAGTGTGGCTTAGTGGCTGTGGACTTTTTCTGATATAACCATGAAGAAATCTGTACTGTGGCATGAGTTAAACCTTCTGGCAGGCTTGTTGAGAGCGTTCTGCTTGCAATGCTGTGTCACACATTTGTAGGATTCTGAAAAATTTCTTAATAATATTGTAGGCATCTATCATCTTAATGAGAATATTCTGGTTTATACCTTAGGACTAACTGGGTTTTCCAGGAATCCAAAATGTGTCATGGTTTCCAGCTGTTTGTGCCTTTTGTAGATAATGTTGGTATACTACATGGAAGCAGGATTTTTCATCTGTGTTGTTATGTAGATGGATTTTTATAGACTACTGTATGTTTTACTACCACAGTCTGATTTTAATTGTCTGTCTGTAGGAGAGATGGATCAAGGACAATGATGGGAGATCGGGATGGACAAGTGAGTTGCTTTATAAAGCTACAGAAACATCTTAACTTCTTATAACCTAGTTTTCTATAGTGTGTGTCAGATTAAATTTCAGTAGTTGAGAATTAAATGGCATCTCCCTATGTATCAATAACCAGAATGTCTTGTTTTCTTTAATAAGATGAAATTTAGTTCAAATACATGTTTATTATAAAAGTTAGCTATAGTTACTCTGATACAAATAAAACAAGTGAATTGTGTCAAAAAGGTAGAGTATTCCAAAAGATTGTGTAGATAAGGCAAAGGTACAAAGTACGCATAAAATTCACTCTATGAGGTTGCATAGAATCAACAGCAAAACTAGTAGAGATGTTTGCATGTTTGAGGGCTGGGGGGAAAGACCTTTGGGGCACACTGAGGCAGTGAGAGATTAGTTTTGTGGAGTCACAGAATCCTCAAGTGCCCTTTACTGATGGCTAAGCCGTGAGACTCAGAGGGACTTGGATAGGCTGGACAATCGGGCAGAGGGGAATAGCATCATGTTGAACAACGGGAACTCTAGAGTCCTGTTCCTGGGGAGGAATAACCCTGTGCAGCAGTACACGCTTGGGACCAACCAGATGAAAAGCAGTTTTGCAGAGAAGGACCTTGGAGTCGTGGCAGACAGCAAGCTGACCATGAGTCAGCATTGCACCCTCCTGGCAAAGAAGGTCAGTAGCATCCTGGGCTTTGTCAGGAAGAGTGTTGCCAGAAGGTCAAGGGAGGTGATCCTCTTTACTCAGCACCTGTCTGACATACTGTGTCCAGTGCTAGGCTCCCCAGTACAAGAAATATAAGAGCTTACTGGAGTAAGTGTAGCCCAGGGCCACAAAGATGATTAAGGGCCTGGAGCATCTTTTGTATGAGAGCCTGAGAGAGCTGGGGCTGTTCAGCCTGGAGAAGAGAAGGCTCGGGAGTTATCAATGTGCATTAATACCTCATGGGAGGGAGGGCATGGAGAAGATGGAACCAAGGCTGTACTCAGTAGTGCCTGCTGACAGGACAAGAGTCAATGAGCACAAACTGAAACACATGAAATTCCATCTGAAGACAAAACAACCTAGGGGGGTTTTTTGGTATGTTTTTTAAACTGTAATGGTGGCCAAATACTGGAATACATTGCATGGGGAAGTTGTGAAGTCTCCAGCTGTGAAGGTACTCAAAACCCAGTGGGAGACTGTTCTGGACAGCCTGCCCTGGCTGACCCTGCTTGAGCAAGGAGGTTCCTTCCATCCTGAATGATTCTGAGATTGGATAATTCAGCTGAGCAACTTTAAACAATTAAAGAGTCTGTTTTGGACAGTCCTGTAAGTGTTCTTTGCCTTTTAGCATTATCCAGATGAGCGCCATGGAGGACCAGACCGTCATTCACGAGACTCTCGGGAAAGTTGGGGTAGCTATGGATCTGACAGAAGAATGAGTGAAAGTAGAGGGATACCCCCACAGTCGCGGTTAGTACACTTAACTGAAAATATTTTTTTCTTGTGCATCTAAGGAATATTTCCATATGTGAAAGTGGGATGCCGTTTTTGGAAGTATGATTCTTTTTTTTCCAGCTTTCACCTCTGAGTCTGTTCTCTGTTGGATGGACTACAAATGAGTAGCTTTTTCAGCTTGCCTTGTGCATCAAAATATCTGTCTTGGCTTTTTTTTTTAAATAACTTTCACATCTGAAAGTCTTCATATTTTCAATTAATTTTACCTAACATTACTATCAAAGCTTGGTATTTTCAGGGTAGTGGTTCTTCCTCAGTTTGTAGTAATAGGAAGCACTGTCCTGTCAGCCCTTTGAAAGGAAAACAAGTTAATTAGATGCTTACAGGTTGCGTGTGTGTTTTTTTTAGGTTTTGTCTGGTGTTTTCGTTTTTTAATAACTCCTATGAGTAAGCCAGCCTACAGAAAACACCAAGAATAAATTGACTGGTCAAAACAACAAGCTGGGATGTTTAGAGTAAATCGGGACATCAATGTAGCATAAAACAGATTAAGAAAATCTTACTTTCTTACTTGCCATGTTAGTTGGATCGAACAGAAGGCTTATTACTGAGATTTGACTTAAGACAGCAATATAAATACAAGATTTGCATGTACCTTGGTAAAGCATTTCAGTAAGTTTGTGACTTAGTTGTTTTACTCGAGTCTATTTTGTGTGGTCTGGCTAGGGTGAGAAGGTAGGAATTTCATACTTTTGCAGGGATGGACGTGACTGGGGAGATCACGGTCGAAAGTTTGAAGGACATCAAGATCGTTCATGGCAGAGCACCGTGGATGGAGGAATGATAGGACGGGATCATGAGAGATGGCAAGGTATGCTTCTTGCACAACAGCTCATTAGTTGTGCTACGTAAAGCAGAAAATACAGGCGTTACTATACTTGGAGATGCAGTAAAACTATTACTGTGGCTATAAAGGAAGAATTTGAACTTTTTTAGGTGGAGGTAGAGGCAGACCTGGCCATGTGATGCATCGTGGAGGCATGTCAGGGTAAGAACTTTAAAAAAGAGCAAAGTGTTTGTTTCCCTTTTAAGGGATCTCTCTTCTATTTAAAAAAGAACACCCATTCTCAACCTGACTACCAGAGTCACAAGAGAAAAATAAATTGTCTCAATCACTTTCTAGGCGTGGAGGTTTCATGCAAGGTGGCAACCAAAGTCAGATGATGCATGGAGGAGGAATGCAAGGAGAAGGATTTGCTGGCCAGGAGAGAGCAAACAGACCTAATGATCCTCGTTTCAACCGTCGCTACTGAATGTGTTTTAATTTTTAATGCAAGGTGGCAACTGAAATGAATTTGTTACCCAGGGTTACCATTAATTGTAACTTATGGGCTACTGTAAGTGTAATTTTTTTTTAAGCTGCTGCCATATTATGTCATTCAATCCAATGTGAACTCATTTGTTTTGTAATGTGTTGTTCATATCCCATTTAAAATGTTTGTTAATGAAGCATTCCATTTTCCATAAATAAAATCCAGTTTACAGTTAATTGCTTTGTTTCAGTAGTCCCTGGAAAACTAACTTACTCAGCTATATGTTAAACCATGTAACTTTCTTTCAAAGATGAAGCATAAAAATGCCTTATAGGTGCCCCTTTGCACTTTCAGTAGCACACAGCTCCCGGAAAGACACCGAAATACTGTGTTACTTCAGACATGTCAAAATTAACCTGCGCTAGCGTGAGGGAATGGTGGTAGATTGCAGTTGTCAAAGTTTAAACACCATGCCACTGCAAAATTGACTTAGGATCCTGTAAGTCAAGTGGCAAAGAATTTTTTTTTTTATTTTGTCTCATGTTTGTAGGTACTGTGCAACATAATATTCTTTGCTCTCTGAAAAAGGCTACATACTGAGTTACCAGCCCAGCTTCGGTAAGAGGAAATGCACATGTACTTGTGAAAGTAGTGACTTTCAAGTGCAACTCAGAATCTCTTGTTTAGCTTCTAATAAATCAGGGTAGTCTAAAGCTCCACCGATTTCAGGCCAGTAATTTTACCTAGCAATCCATAATTTCCTTGAAGAAGTAGATTAGAAACAGCCATTGGCTGTGCTTTGGCATCATTTTAAGAATATGTTGAGAACTAACATGATCAAGATTAATGCAAAGGATCTGTTACTTTGTCATATCCAAATTATAATTTGTCTTTGTGCAGTCATCTCTGGAGCAACATGGCCTTAGCGCTACCCACCGAAGCTGGCTTTTGTGATGCCAAGAGGGAAAAATCCTGTTACTTTCAGTGATCCCCAGTAGGATCACTGGGGTTTTTTTTTCCCTTCTTCAGAGATGTTTTTTTCTCAGTTGCCTGAAGATTTTTATATTTTTTCATTTGTTTCCTACAGTCTGCATTCTTACAGAAAGTGAAGCTCTTTGGGGCCTTTTTTCATTAGGGTTGAGACTTCCCACACCAGAGGAGGATCCCTGTGGACAAATGATGTAAATTCTAAAAAACCGCTTTGATCCCAGTGGGGAGTTGCCTGAGGCTGGCTGGATCACACTGGCATCAACCTCAGTGTAAAAGTTTTTGGTTTAATGGTGAAGCTGAGGTCCAGAAAGACTCAAGTCTTTGTTTAAGTACACAAACTAGGCATGCAAGCAGAAAGAATAGATTTCCAGGCAGCTATACTTCCTAGCAACTAACAGTTCAGTGGGTCTGGCTAGAATCCAGTGCCTCCTTGCTTTTAATCCTTCAGCTGTTCACCTCTGATGCAGAGAAAGAAAATAAAAGAGCAGTGATATCCCCAGACCTGCTCTCTTCCCCAGTTCTGCTCATTGACCATTAAGCATGAGGACAAGCGAATCACTTCCACTAGCTATAACCTATCTGGACCTTCTCTGCAGGAATTGCATGGAAACGTGAAGCTCCAGCACAAGTGACCTGTCCATTTGTAGCTTTAAAGAGAGCATCTTTCCTTGTCCTCAGCAGATATGTAGCACCCCAAAAGGGGTTACGAAATTTCCCCCCTTTTTATTTACAGCATCGCACAGTCATTTATGAGCATGAGGAACACTGCCATCTCCTAGTCTAAGGAGTCTGGAGAAGTGGAAAAAAGTCATGCCTATGACCCAGACCATTGCATCAACAACCTACGTAGAGATAGACACCAAAGGAATAGTATTTTATCATCTAGGGAATATTATTAGTCTAATAAAAGAACCTTTTTTGACCACGGGGGGGGACACACACATGACAATCAACCAATCAAATTGGAGCCTCTCGTTATGATGTTTACTGCATCTGAAAATCATATTCACTTTAGGATGAAGGCTTTCCCCGCCCCCCCAGGTTTTTAACTGAACTGCATTTCCCTCTAATTCAGCTAGATGGCAACACTGGTCTGGCAAACCGCCTCTCTATGGGTATAATTCCTCTTGCGTAAACTTTGATTCAGGAGAAAACTTATTAGCCATCTAATCAGCGGGTATGTACAAAGGGCACCTCCAAAAGTCTATGACGAAGTACGCATCACTTGAAAGGGAGTTGCAGACACGTACCGTCAGGACCTGGTAAGTCCAAGCTATGTGACTCCCAGACTCTCTCTCGAGTCCAGCCTGCAGACAATTGGTCCTTAACATGTCTTCTTTTTTTTTTTGTCATCTGGACATGCTGCTGGATTGCGCTTCTGTCAATCCTCACTTTGGCAACAACTGGTACTGTCTTCCTTTTTGCAAGAACCCTTCATAGCAGCAAAGGTAAGAGAGTACTGCAGATAACTGATTCTTCCATTTCAAGCCTTTTCGTGTCCTGGACATAGCTGCAGAGGTTAAAAAGTAACATGCACTAACAACAGATGTAGTTCTTGGCCTGTTCTAGGGAAACCAAACCAAACAAGCTCACAATGCAGAGATTGTCGCAGTGTTGTAGGAGCTGTGGAAATTGCGTCCCAGCTACTTCGTTAATGCTTGAGGGGGACACAAGGCAGGACTGAAGACATACATCACAAGTATTTTGGAATTAATTACTGCGGACGTGCTGCTAACGAGCTACTTTGATTTCCAAACCTGCCATGCTACATCCTTCTAGAAACACAACTGTAATAAAACATCTCTTTAGCTTTTACAGCAACCCTCATCCCTGCCTGCACGTCTCCACCAGTAATGAGAACAAAAGGTTAGTATCTAACCCGTCATGATACTGAAATTCATTTTGCTCACGTGAAAAAAAATCGTCAGAAAACTGATGGCAGGAATGAGTTGCCAGGAATCCACTTTCTGCTCAGGCCTTAATTTAATGTTGCACACTTCTGTTCTACCAAAAAAGTGTTGACTGCCTCTTCTACAGGTCTACTACCAGCACACAGCTTTCTCACTGCTAACTCCGATTTTTCTCCATATGCCCCTGATACACAGTCACCTGTTCATAATGGTCCCTGCCAGAGTGAAATCTACCCTATTTCTTGTGTTGGTTTGACAGCTACTTGTTTCTTTCAGCACCTTCTGGACCTACTTGGATTTTGGCAGGGAACTGACAAGGGCACTGTAATCTTTGCTCCTTTTCCTCTTCGGAGGAGTTATCCGTCTCCTGTGGAAGAAGACATGGATAGCAAGAGAATATTCTTGCTTTCTGGGAATCTCCCTTCCCATCTCCCATTTTGTATTGCTTCTTATCTGCAAACCAAGGTTTCTGGTTAAAAAAAAAAAAAAAAAATCACATTTCTGTTTTGATTCATGCACAAACTAGGAGACAGTCTGTTAGAAAAACACAACTTGAAGTCTCTAGGCATTCAAAAAATAAGGAAATTCAAAAATGTCCATGCAGATTGCAGAGTTATTCAGTGACCAGCTCCGAGTTTAGCTCATGTTCGTTTATTTGTTCATAGCTCAACTGCAGAATATCATTGTTCCTTTGCAAAGAACTTATAATGCACAAAGACGTAGTTGCAGTCAATGTTCCTGAGGTACCTTTGCCTAATTCTTCATGGGGCAGCAGGTTTAGATGAAGTAGAAAGTAGGAGGTCAGCCTCGTGCTCCCTTCCATGGGGAGTCTGCTGTGATTGGAGATCCTGTTTCCATTTTCTCTCTTGCTCAGTTGCCAAAACGCTTTACACACAGAGCTGTCAGTATCTTAAAGGTAATTCCAGGCATTTAAAGAAGATAGCACAGAGAATACTTTTTCAAGTCAAGACACAAACTGAATCCACTTAGTTTCAGCCAACAGCTGGTAAAATTTAAAATCTAAACCCTTGCTTCCAAATAATCT